TTTAAAGGCTAAAATGTCTTTTAATATGACTTTCACCATTGTGGATGGGATTTTTAAAATTGTGTCATTTGCTCCCTTTACTTCTTCTTTTTTTTTTTAAAGAACTATTTTATTTAACTTTATTTATTTTTTTAATTTGACCAGAGAGGGACAGAGTGAGAGAGAGAAAGAGAGAGAGGGAAAGTGACAAAGCAAGCCGCCCGGTCTGGAACTCAAACTGTGGTCCACCATGTGGGAGTCCAGCGTCCTTAACCACCGCCACTGGTGGCCCCTCCTACTTCTTAAGAGAGTGTATACCATGTAACTTGAAACTTTCTCCACCATGGAGAACTAGTTTGACATCTGGATAGGTGGGATATCATTGTATTCAAATAGAAAGGTTGTTTCCAGAACAGGTTGTATTTATGGCTTTAGGCTGCAGTATACTCATGTACTCTTTTAATTCTGCATTTACGTTGCAGACAAAAAAGAGAGAGAGAGAGAGAGGGAGAGCAGGAGAGAGAGAGAGAGATCCTCTCATTTCCTGAGACAGAAAATAACAAAATGCTTATTTTTGCCAGTTAGATAGAGATCACCACACGGCTGGAGCTTCTTCAGATGTCTCTGTGCCTTGCCCATCCATTTCACTGCTTTTATCTAAGGATGCTCATTTGCCACAGGCTAAGTGACCCAGCACCACCATCACATGCTCACCATGTGGTTCTCCCTCTTGGACACCATTAACTAACTACATTATCTTTTTCAGTGTCTTTCTTTTTTCTTTTTCTCATAAGAAAAAGTATTCAGTAATCACAAGTTTCTTTAAAATAATACTAGTTCAGAGGGATTTTTTTTTTGCTGTACCACTATTGAAAATGCTAATAAATTATATTGTTTGCTTATATCATTATTGATATATACTTTTCCCCCACTGCTTTATCATAGTTGCTATTCTCTTCTTTTTCCCTAATGCCAGAGGGCACATGAACTTCCCAGTAAGAGACAAAGAGATAGAGAGGAAGGGGAGGAAAGCACACCCCCCCAATGGGATGTGGTCCTTTCATCTCCATTTTTCCATCCTGTCAAGATTTTTGGCACGCATGCACGCACACATATGTCTGGTATATCTTAAAACTGCCAAAGTGGGAACTTAAACCAAGTTGGATGTGTGGGATCCAGCACCCTTAATGACTAGGCTATGGGGCAAGCTCTCCATTTTTTTTTTTATTATCATCATAATCTTGTTTATATTACATTGAATTACATATAACTTTACAGTGTATTACATTGTTTTTTCAAAAGGGAATGCCATGCATGTCAGTCAGTACAGAGACATTAATCTCCCCACTTCAACATTCAATATCTTTTCTATGTTTTCCCCAATCATTATTTTTATTATTCTAATTATTTTTTAAAACAGTTTTAAAGCTCTCCATTTTTAAAAATAAATTTTATTGTATATTTATTGTATATTTAAGGTGCACAACATGATATTATCCAATAAAGAGATAATAGAAAGGTTACTATAGTGAGACAAATGAACATATCCATCGTCTCACATGTGGCAAAAGCAACTAAAATCTAACCCTTTAACATAAATTCCTATACAGTACAATTCCACTGTGTAAAATCTTCATGCTATTCAGTAGATCTCTTTTCAGGTTCATAAAATCGAACCTTGCTATCATCAATGACTCTTCCCTCAGTTCCTTCCCTCCTCCCCATTTTTTAAAAAGAAATATTTTATTTAACTTTATTTATTTATTTTTATTTTTATTTGATCAGAGAGGGACAGAGTGAGAGAGAGAGAGATAGGGAAAGTGAAAAAGCAAGCCACCGGGTCTGGGACTTGAACTGCAGTAACCATGTAAGAGTCCGGTGTCCTTAACCACCACACCACCTGCTGGCCCCAGTTCCCCCCCTTAAAACAGGCAACTTCAAGTTCTGGTGTGTGTGGTTTGTTCCATGTCCAAGGTGTGTTTTACCTTCTTCTCACTCAAGCCTGCCAAAATCTCAACTCATGGCTCCTGTATACATCTGTTTTCCAAACATCCCTTGCACTACCTGCTACCCAAATCTATCCCAAGTATGATAATGCCGTACTCTTTCATCACTGAGTTCACAATCTCTACTTCCTGAACGCTGTCATTGGTTAGCTCTGAAATTATTTCTTGCTTCCATTTGAATGCTATATTTTCACCTTTAATTCCTTTTATAGTACTTCTAACCGCCCACCTCCTCCTGTTCAGTCTTTACATTAGCACTTTCCAGTTTTATATGTTCCATATAGTTTTGCCAATGGAATTAAAGAAACATGTCAGAATTCTCCCTTTTCTCATCTGTCTACTCCGGAGTCCTATCCCTGATCACACCATAGTATCTTTAACTACCTCTCGAGAAATTTTCTTTTCCAAATGCCTTGGAATTTAATGACTATTTTCCCAATTTAATTTACTCAACTACTTTTCCTCTTATATATCTTCCAAAACCACTAGAGAAGAATTACTACATTTTTGGAGGCTGGCAGGTGGCATGGTGGTTGAGGGGGCTGAACTCCCACATGGCTGACCATGGTTTTGGAACTGACTGGCAGGGTGGTTTCTTACTTTCTCTCTCTCTAACTTTCTCTGTCCTTTTTTTTTTCTCTCTCTCTGTCCCTCTCTGATCAAATTAAAATAAATAAGTAAATAAATAAATAAATGTTAAAATAAAATGATTCTTAAAAACATATATATATCAAACCATGCCATGTTTTTAAATATCAAAGAACTACTACATTTTTTGTTATTGTTTTCCACATGCCCTGCCCCTCTCCTCCTTTCTCAGATGGTAACTATCAACAGCAGCAGGGCTGCCTTTGGAACATTTGACATGGAACCATGTACTGAGGTAAACCAATTCCATTCCCCAAACTACATGATTCATTGGCTTCCTCTCACTTAGTCCATCCTTCCACCTCTCCCACAGCTTTCCAATTTTGCCACAGAATTCTCATTTTGTGGTAAATAAATTCCCTTCTACCTTTAACTCATTCAGAAGGAATTCTCTCCATAAACTTGGACCTCCCTTTAGAATGCTGCTGGACAGCAGACACTGGCAACCCTCTTACAGTAAAGGACCCCTATGCTTCTCCAGGACATGCACCTTAGGCTTACAGGCAAGGGAGGGAGGGGCCACTGCTCCTCAAAGCTACTAACAGACCAACACTCTGCCACCCTCCTTCTAGGCCCGTGACCTCTACCTAGATCTCCTTCCCCGGTTCTTCACCTCTCAATCCATGTGGTCAATTATTTACCTCACCTGCTTTCCAGGCCTTTGTCCTTCTCGTCTTCAGAATCCCTTGTCACTCCCTTCAACTCTCCATGGTCTGCACTCCACCTCAGACCCTCTCCTCCCCACCCTTCCTGCTTCTTAAGGCCTTTGTCTCAATCACCACATTCCCTTGACCTTAGAGAGCATTCCAATCCTTCAATCTTTCCATTGTCCTGAAATGAGTAGCCTTCCTGGCCTCTCTTCCTTCCATACCCAGCTCAGATCCCATGGCTGATATCCAGAATTTCTCTTTTATCAGCACTCTTAGCCCCCTGCCAGCAAACCTTTCCCTGGACTTCCTACACTAACCTACTACCTGAGCAGTCTCTTATTTCCCCTGACCCCACTTCCTGACTATCAGGCTCTACGTCTTTGCTTAGGCCTTCTGTGGTCACAACTTGAATTTCCTCCCAAGTGCCAGCTGTATTTATCTACTCCCTCTTAAGCCTCCATTCTGAATGAATGAATTTTAAATCTTACTTCTTATAATCATTACTTTAAAAATGCATTTGGGGCCAGCACCATAGCACAGTGATTAAGCATAATGCATTGGGAGTCAAATCCTACATGGCCAACTGTAGTTTGAATTCCAGGTCTTGTAGCTTGAAAAATATGCTGGATGCATTGTCCATGTGTGTCTAAAATTCTGATGGGATGGAGGAATGGAGAAAAAAGGACTGTGGAATGACCATGCCCTGTTTGGAGGGTGCTTTCTTTCTCTCTCTTTCTGGCAAGGGCATAAAAAGAAAGGAAAGAAGGAAGAAGAAAAATCCATTTGAATATTTATATTTTGTCCACAAGACAAACTCTCATGGAGTGGAATCACAAGGTAATATTACAACTAAAATAATAATAATAATAATAAGGTTCATGGCAATTATGTGGCTCATTCAACTTTTCCTCCAAGAGTAGAAATGACTTTTCATGTCATAATCAGGATATATTTTCTTTTAACCCATCTGAGATACCTGTGCTATGCCCAGTTATTCAATAGTTGTAGGGATGACAGGGAAGAATGGAGAATAGACACATTAATCAAAAAGAGACATCTGTATAAAGAGGTATCACTTTGGTGAAGGCAGGGACCTCAGGATGAGTTTCTACATGCAGTCAGCCATCCCAGGCACAGACATTGAGGAGACAACTCTGGCTCAGAGAGAGAAATAAATCTACTTAAGGAGGTATGGAAAGACGTCATGTTGGCCAAGCTTTATGACCTCTGACACCAGAATGCAATGACTAGAGAGGAGTCATAGTGCTGGAAGAACAACTAAGCCCAGAGATGGCACATCAGGATAGAGAAGAGAGCTATTTAGAACTTACTGTAGGAAACTCCTTTCATGCATAATTAGTGTACACTGGAAGAGAAGACTGGTAAGTGACTTGCTCATTTCTGAACACAATAAAAATAAAACAGACTGCTTCCCTCCCCATCCTGCATCATCTTAAAACAACCACAATAAATTCAATCAGCAACAAATCCTAATGGATATACAGATAACAATAGTATGAACAAGACCCAAACTAAATTTTAAAAAAATGTTTATGAGCTTTGTTTAAGGTAAATCAAAAGATATGCCTTTGAACTTCTCAGATGAAAACTGTTATATTTGGATTTGTGCCTATCTCTAATAGAACTAACATTGTTATCTACCCTAGAACTGCCCTCCTCCCATAAAAAGACAAATATGTATCGAAATATCATTTACCTTATAGAAGATTAAGAAGAGATCATCCAGTTTCCCATGCAAATCACCTGAAGTACAAATGAAAATCACAATTCAGTAGGAAACAAGATGTGATGCCCATTTTGTTACAGAATTTTAAAACTAAAATATTGCTAATAAACTCCAAGTGTTCTCCTTACAGAATTTTAAAACTAAAATATTGCTAATAGACGCCAAGTGTTCTCAGGACATTGGGTTTTAATGTTACAATGATGTTAATTTAGCAGGTGATTTGTTTCCATAAGGGAGGACAGCATCTTGCCCCCAAATTACCTGTTCTTTCTGATCATTTATGGGCTTCACTTACTCTGGGCCAAGAACTATATTGAGAGTTTTACATGAATTATCTTGTTCAATTCTTACAACCATTCTAGGAGATGAGAATTACTTTCAACATTCTCCTTTTACAAATGAGGTTCAGAGTAGTTAAGCAACTTATGCAAAGTTACGCAGCTACCAAATATCAAAGCTGAGATTCAAATCCAACTTTATCTCACTTCAAAACTCAAATTCTCATCAATTATTATGTACTGCCTACACTGTCCTGCAGAGGAGAGCAGCAACAGAAGCTATTTCAGTCAACATTCAATCCCCATGTGCCTACCAAGTGCCTAGTGCATAGCAGGCATTCAATAAATACGTTTAATTGGTAACTACATAGCTCGTAAAAAGCCATGCTTTGAAGAATATGTTCTGGCAGTAGCATCTGAAATTTAAAGATCGAGAGTAGACAGTTGACATTCTTTGGATGAGACAGCTACAGGAAATAAAAATGAAAGTCTACTAAAGGAAGTCATATGAATGTATATAGCCATTAATTAAAAAATAAAAATGGCTCTGAGAAGATTCCAAAGCCCCATTTAGAAAACTATTTCTAGGCAAAATATCTTGCTTTCATGAACTCTGCTTATAAATTTTGATTTTGGATATCCAATTTGATGAACACACAATTTAATTTGGGAATATTCTTCCTCAGTTTGCTTAAAATCCCACTACTAAGATTAACCAAATATATGCAACAGAAGACTCCAATTATACTCAAAATAATAAAAGTAATACCCTATATCACCAGCACTTATTTATAAAATGTGACTCTACTATTAATAGTTAGATTAAGGGCATATTAAATCTTATTGCTTTCATATGGTCTCACTTCAAATCTAAGGAAATAAAGAAAAACTTTTTACTTATCAGTTTAGTACATATTTTTAATTATTTTATTTTCTTCAGGGTGATTTTTCTTTAAAAAATTTGGATATATAAGACTGCTACAGTTGGCGAGCTAAAAAAATAAACTTGTTTCAGCATATTAAAAAGTTAAAACTATAAAAAATATTTTAAAATTTCTAGTTGAATGACCAAAAAAAGGAATATGGGAAGTCAGACACAAAAGATATTCTCTGACTGATTCATAAGGCTTCTCAGGGCTCATGCCCGAAAGTTCTTTATTTCCATGAAAAGAAAAGTTAGTGAGGCCTTGAATAAAAGGCCCCTACTGCTGAGATGCATCATCTGCTATTCAGAGATACAATGGCCTGATTAGGTTGCAAGTGAACACTGCTAGAAACTCTTCCAAAACCTGAGTCAGGCATGTCATAAGGTATGTACTGCTACATCAAGTCCCTGTCACCACTATCAGATGCTAGAAATAGAAATGATTCAATAGATCATCAAATCCACTTCTACCTGCCAGGGTAAGAGAAATGTGACTAAAAATTGATTTGGAAAATAACAATCACTGTTTTGTAACCTAAAGGCTTAATTAGAAGTTAAGGGAATTGCTGTTCCTTCCATGCACCCCACTCTTAGACAGTTGCAAGCATGCTGAGCACCAACTGTGATGAATTTCAATGTGTACTGTTTCTTGAAGCAATATCCTGCCAGGCTGGCCTATATGATAACAAAATCTCAAATCTTGTTATTTAGAAGAACAAGAAACAGATTTCTGGGACATTCCCACTCTTCTAAAAGCTGCAGAGACCAGTTGAAAAAAATCTAACACAACAGCCAAGGGCAGAGAAGAGTTTAATCAGCGATGAGGTTAATCTCCACCCTTCCTTAGCTTTTCTCTTCCCGGCACAAGTGGCATGCAGGGGCCCACCTAGAGAAAACAACATGGAGCAAAGATAATGAGAGCTAGACCAAGGACAAAGAATGCTTATTCCACCCATGGGTGGTTTTCCATATTAAAATGCTGTCTGCCTTTATAAAAAGCTATGAGTTCTTTAATTTCTCACATAATTAATTCCTACCAGCTGGTATGCAAAACAAAGACAAGATGGGGAACAGTATTATCATGATAGATAATTCTATATTACCATTTTTTCCCTTAACACAGTCCAATTTACACAGTTTTTAAGTTAGGCAAATGCTGTAGGACCAAGAGGCATCTAAACATTAATTTGACAACTCTGCTCTGAAACTTACCACAGATTGTTACCTCTTTGGAGGGAGAAGTTTTTACTTGAGGGAAATTTGGCATTTGCTTTAGGGCTTTCTTGGTTTCAAATAGCACCTCTAAGACATAATGAGCATGAAGTATCTGTAAGAGGGAACAGAGGAAATAGATATAATGAAGTACAAAGAAAGATAGGACCACATAAAAAACTATAAAGGTGGAACATGTGCATAGTCCAGGGTGCTGTATTTCAGGATAATTTCTAAATTATTCTCAACTACATTATTCTAGCATAGTGTCTAGTATACAAGAAATCATCCACAGATATTTCTAATTTAATGAAAGGATGGTTTTGAAGAGTTTTATATCCTCATATTCTTTTTTTTCTTAAAAAAAAGAACACATTTATTTATTGGGTTGCTGGAAAAAAGCAGGAGCAGGGAATGGTGATACTTGGGCTCAAGGAAGGATGATTTTAGGACCATGAATCCTGAGATTTGCAACTATGATATCTGGTTCAAATCCAAGCTGTTTTGTTTGTTTGTTTTGCTTTTTTCATTTTTTTTTAACCAAAGGGCGACACCGCACCTCACTTTTTCCATTGGAAAAAAAAAAAACACACACAATTATTTACTTATTTAATTCCACTTGTTATTATTATCTTTTAATTTGACCAGAGAGAGAAAAAAAGGGAAAGCGAGAAAGCAAGCCACCAGGTCCAGGACTCAAACCATGGTTGGCCATGTGGGAATCCAGAGCCTTTAGCTACCACACCACCTGCCACCTTCCTAGCTCTCATACTCTTTTTTTTTTTTTTTTTTTTTGGAGAGGTTTTTGCTATAGGGCGCGTGCACTCGCCAGACAGACAGAGAGAGACAGAGAGACAGAAAACGAGAAATCACCCCCCAGGGGGTATGGCCACACCGCAATCCCTTCTCCTCCATTCTCCTCTCGGAATCTTGGGCACACACGCACACGTGCCCGGCGTGAGTTTTAAGCCACTGGGTCCGGGACGCAAACCACAGTCGACTACGTGGGAGTCCAGCAACATAGCCATTACACTAACTGCTGGTCCCCCTAGCTCTCATATTCTTAATTGGTATCATCTATTTGCATGACAGTTCTGATTATCCTTGGTCCTTAGCACCTAGAAGAAGTGACAAGAAAACGGAGAATTCCTTTGTCCTAAGAAAATGTGCAGACCAAAAAAAATAATGAGAAGAGGAGGAAAAGGAGAGGGAGAGAGAGTGAGAAAGAGAGAAGTCAAGAAAGTCTGTTGCAGAGATGTGGCTTTGCATTTGTCGGGACATCCTGCCATCAGAGACGGAAACTAGGTGCTGGTTCACGAGGCAAGCAGACAAGTTCCCAAGCTACTCCCGTCAGGCCTCCCAGGTGTGGCTCCGACATTTGGTACATAGCCTTGAGAATTTTCAGTACAGCAGCACAATTATGTAAAAGTCTTAGCATAAAATATATTCCAAAACCAAATAAAACACTTAGATTATCTCCTATTTATGACTATTCATTCCATTGCTCTCCTGTTAAGAGTGTTGATGAGATCACTTTGTACAGATTTGCTATTTTTCCCCTGAGCTATTTTGTTTGTTTGTTTATTTGTTTGTTTAATCCAGTGTGAGGGCCAGCAGGTAGCATAGTGGTTAAGGTGCTAGACTCCCACATGGCCGATTGTGGTTTGAGTTCCAGACCCTGCAGCTTGAAAATCACAGTGTGCATGTGTGTGTGCCCAAAAATCCCAGGAGTAAAATAGAAGAGGAGGATATTGAGGCAAGGCCATTACCAATCATGTGGAGGGGTGATTTCTCATTTTCCCTCTCTCTGTCTCTCTCTGGTGAGCACACTCTCCCCATGGCTAAAGAAACAAACAAATAAATAAATAAATCTAGGGTGTAAGTCACACATATTTAACAGATGTTAACACAACTTTAAGGTTCAGGACTATTGGATCTGTGCTATCTAGCATGGTAGCCACTAGCCCTGTGGGGCTATCAGCACTTGAAATGGAGCTAGTCTGAATTGAGATATGCTGTAAGTGTAAAAGTCACACTGAATTTCAAAGACTTAGTGTAAAGGAAAAAAGCAGAATGTCTTACTAATAGCTTAAATATGCTTACATATTAAAATGTTTTTATATACTGAGTGAAAATATTAGGATTCATTTCGCCTAATTTTTTTTGTTGTTTTTACTTTTATACTAGAAAATTCTAAATTATATATATGGCTCATTTTATATTTCTATTGGGCAGCACGGGTTTACATTATTGAAGGCTGAGAGAAGGGTCACATCTACATTTATTGTTCAGATACTTCTTTAGTTAGGAGATTAAGGGTAGGTGGAAGCCTTTGGACCAATCTTGTCTGAAGATGTCCTAAAAGTTCTATTTTCATAGGTATTAAAATAATAAAATTATTTTTTATTCCAGACTCTGAAACATATCATTTTATTTTGGAGCATTTCATGATTAAATGATTTCTTTACAGAGATAGGAAATAGGATTGGAAGCAAAGCAGGAAGTAGGAGGAAAGAGAAGAGTCCCTGGATATTGATTAGTAGGGAGAGATCCATATTTCCTGTCTATCTAAGATGTAATGGCCTGCTAAGTATTTTCTACACAAAAGTATTCTAAATACATTCAATCTGCAACTTGAATTAAAATTTGAATGCAGGGACCAGTAGATGGCATAATGGTTACATCGTTGGACTCCCATGTGGTCAACCATGGTTTACGTCCTGGACCTGGCAGCTTAAAACTCAGGCCAGGCACATGTACATATGTGCTGAAGATCCTGAAAGGAGAATGAAGGAGAAGGGATTGCAGCTTAGCCATTCCCCGCAAGAGGGTGATTTCTCACTTTCTGTTTCTCTCTCTCGCTGTGTCTCTCCAGTGAGCACATGCGCACTATAACAAAAAAATCTATAAAAATAAACAAACTGAAAAATAAAAAACTTGAATGTAAACCTTCCTTTAGCCATATTTTAAAAGACTGGGGAGAAACACTTTTGTATAATGGCTTATTTCAGTTTGTACATTTAATCTATTGGTTCCCAATAGATTGCGGGCTTCAATGTTACCTTAACTTGCCACTGTAAATTTCCTGGTACATTTGTAGTGCTAATCAGAGTAACCGCTATCTGAAGAGGCAGTCTTGGTTTCTTTTTAACAATTTTTATTATTATTATTATTATTATTTAATTTGCTATAGGGTATGTATGCTCACCAGAGAAATACAGAGGAAGAGAGAGGGAAAATGACTTGAATCACAGTTGGCCATGTGGAAGTCCATCACCCTAAACACCATGCCACCTGCTGGATCCAGTAGTTTTGATTTTTAAAAGTTAAATCAAGAAATATTCACTAAGAATTTATTGTAAAAACAGAAAATTCTTATGATTAAATGTTTTTCCAGGTCTTCTTTAGACTGGCTAAAATTACTTTGTTAATATTAGTTCTTGCTTATAAGATTTGCTTTTAATACATTATAACTGGCATTTATAACTACGATACTAAATACTCAAGATAGCTAATTCACATGTTGGTTTCCACATATATAAATATATTCAGATTAAATAACCAATTAAATAACTCATCTTCTGAAGACACTCAAGGAGAAAAATACTACCTTTAAAGGATATTTCTTTTTTTAAAAAAGTATTGGTTTGGGGGGCCAGTAGGTGGCGCCATGGTTAAGGTACTGCATTCTCACATGGCCAATTGCAGTTTACCTCCCGAACCTGGAAGTTTGAAAATCATGCCAGGCACGTGTGTGTGCATGCCCAAAATCCTAGGAGGAGAATAAAGAAAGGGATGGCAGAATAGCCATCCCCTCTAAGCAGTGATTTCTCACCTTCCCTCTTTCTACTCTCTCTGTCTCTTGTCAGCAACTGCATACTCCCTATAGCAAAACGAACTAACAAACAAAACCCCAGTTTTTTAAAGAATTATTTTATTCACTTTTATTTATTCATTCATTTATTTTAATTTGACCAGAAAGAGAGAGAGAGAGAGGAAAGTGAGAAAGTAAGCCACCAGTTTCAGGATTCGAACCACGGTTGGCCATGTGGGAGTGTCCAGCGCCTTAACCACAATGCCACCTGCTGGTCTCCAGTAATAGTTTTTAAGTAGATTAAAAACCTCATTTTTAAAAGTTGAAATAAAAATGTAAACAGTAAAAAGGTGTAGAACAATGAAAAGTAATTCTTCCTCTTCCCTAGATCTCAGTTCCCCAATCCGTCCCCAGAAACTCCCACTGTTAAGTGTCTTCTGTACTTTTCCCCAAAATATTTTATGTTTTTGCAAGCATACAAAAATTAATATAACCACATGTGAATATGCAAACACATATTAAACAAAATATGGTATATCCACACAAAGTAAAATTATTCAGGCCTAGTCTCTGTGGCACAGTCAGTAGCATATTGAACTGCAGAGCTAGAAGCCAAAAGTTGACTGCAGTTTGAGTCACTAGCCCCAAGGAAATGAAAATGAGCCAGGTATAAGCATGTGTCCAGGATCCTGGAGGGCTGAAGGAAGGGGATTGAGGTGTGGCTGAGCCCTGTGGGAGGTGCTTCTCTCTCCCTATCATGAATACATTTTTTTTTTTTGGCTTTGTTTTGGATTTTGATATAGAGCATGTGTGCTTGCTAGAGAGTCAGAGAGTGAGAGAGAGAAGGAAAGTGAGAAATCACTCCCCTGGGGGGGATGGCCATGCCACAATCCCTTCATTTTCATTGTCCTCTCAGGATATGGGGCACACATGCACATGCTCCTGGTGTGATTTTTAAACCTCTGGATCCAGGACTCAAACAGCACGGTTGGTCATATGGGATCCACTGCATTAATCTCCATGCCACCTTCTGACCCTATGAATGATTTTTTTTCTTTTTTTTTTTGGAGAGGTTTTTTGTTTGTTTGGTTGGTTATAGTTGGTTTTTTGTTTGTTTATTTGTTTGTTTTTGCTATAGGGCATGTGCGCTAGCCAAATGACAGAGAGAGACAGAGAGACAGAAAGTGAGAAATCGCCCCCCAGGGGAGATGGCCACACCACAATCCCTTCTCCTCCATTCTCCTCTTGGGATCTTGGGCACACACAAACGCCTGGTGTGAGTTTAAGCCACTGGGTCCATG